AATTAGACACGAGCCATATGATGACGAAAATCCCCTGTTACCGTAGCTTGTATCGTCCTTAATGATGCTCTCAACCATTCGCAAATTTATCATTGACGTATCCCTCAGTGTTGATCTTGTAAGATTTCACTGGTGGATTACACCACACAACCAAAATAGGTGGTGATGGGGGAGGGAAAGTCATAAAAACACCGAAGAGGGGTGAAAGACTTGAATCCTCTCACAATGCAAGGCTCTAGATTATATTCCTGCGTGAAGAAAAGAGATCATGCGGTAGACTCTCCAGATAATACGTTTGGGCGTTTATGGATCTCCATGTGCTTCGTGTCATTCCTCTCAGTAGAATCTATTATCACATTAGAAGTCTACGTCAACTATGGCAAAGAACTATGTGAATGGAATCCATCATTTTCATTCTTAAAGTCAAGAAATGAGCTGTAGCTGGACTTATCTTGTTGTAATACGTGGTTCATATAAAGTGGAACACGTGTTTATTGGCATGTATAGTGAAAAGCAAATGATACCAAGAAATCAGAGGATCAAAGATGAGGATATGAAGGTATTCCCAAACATTAAAGAGTAACACTATTTAGTACCACTAGTGTACATTACAGTCTATGTAGTACTGAGTGTCACTAAATAAAATGTACAACTAAATGAAATATATAAATTCAACTTTAATTGAACTTATCGTATAATGTCACATACACTGACACTTTAGCACTATTGGTGCTAGATAACATTATTCAACAATGAAAGGTTTAATCCTTCATCTCAAAATGAGGAAATTTGAAAAATTAAAAGGGTGGTTATATTATAACTACAATTTTTATTTGTTACACCACATTTCAATTGTAGTAAAACACTTTAATCTTTGCATATTGTAGCAATTATTTCCTTAACTTTTTTCATCGAATTCTTATATTCAACCTTTCATTAATTAGTACATGATGTCCTTGATGATGATTTATATCAAAATATTTTGTTTTCACGCTTTGAAATGAGGGAAAAATATTTTCAGTACTTTTTATTTATTTATTTTTTAAAATACGATGAAAAATTAAGTTGTTTTACATCATTGTAATGAACTTTTAAACAAAAAATTGTTATCAAATACAAAATATGATAACTAATGAAAATTTTGAGGATAAGAACGACATGAAAATTTGTTAGAGATATAAGTACTATAATGAACACAGATTAAAAAGCTTAAGTGCAATTAAAATATAATGCAAGAAATAAAATTTATGATGTGAATATAATTATTCAATTAAAAAATGGTCCAAATTAGGCGTCGTGAAATGATGTTGTTTGAAAATCCTACAAGAAAGTTTCCCATTAAGTTAGATTTGACACCACGCCTAAATTCCTGCACTTGTTACTTCGCTACATTAATATAGCTATCTTCCATGCCATCGGTATCTAAAGCTTTAGTTAGAGATCATGCAACTAATACTCAAGGACCGATCTCTCAAAAGGCAAAATTCAGACCTTAGGGGACAATATGTTGTTGCCGATTTGAGATTTCACGTTGGATAAGTTTGGATGTCCTTTGACTAGATCAAAGAGGCTTACTGATCAAGGGATTTAGAATAATTAGATTAGTGCCTTGAGGCAATAACTAGTTGACGAAGGTTAGAGTCAAGCTACAAAATACATCATAAGGAAATATCATTATTACACAACAAAAAAAATATGGTTCAGGTGGGCCCCCCTCATGTAAGGGTGTGGACACCATTATGTACCAACCCTTATGTACCGTAAGGGTTTTCCAAAAAATATTCTCATTTATTGTTGGCATCTAAAATTGTGAAATTATACTTTTAGGTTGAAATACTTAAAAGTAGGTGTAGGAGTTTTGGAACTATTTATATATTAGTAGTAAGTACGTGCGTTTCATATCTTATGTATCGTATAAATAATATGAGTAATTTTTTTTAAGTACTATAAATATTTTTGAAAGTAGTTGATGTAATTGATATAGTTAAAGGAAAAATTAAAATTGTTAAAAAGAATATATATGAATAACACTTTTTACGAAATTATGTATATAATATGAAAGGTTAAAAAATTGAAATGTGATATTTTTGTTAGAATGACATTTTTTTGTACACAATATTTTTTTGTCGACATCTTACAACTTTCTTCTTTTTAATATCTATTTTTAGCCTTTTATCAAGACTATTGTTGTTTGCATTTAAACTCCACAAAAAGTGTGATATGTAGTTGCCTATGAGATAATAAATTTTTAGAATTGTATATTCCAATAGTAGACATTGTTTGTCCTTGAGTCTTTGTTAATGGTAATTGTAAGCATAAATGTATTGAAAATTAATTTCTCTTGAATTTGAATGGATATCCTTCACAATTGTTTTCACACACTGTATAGTTGTAACAATCAGGAGAAAAGCATGCCTATTAATCAATGAATATCACAAAGACAAAATATGCAAAATTCAAGTTGAGCAAACAAAGAAATTTTTTGTATTGAATTGGATAACTGAATGCACGTAAGTTTTGCTTGGAAAATAGAGTATTTGAAGAAATTAATAAAAACTAACTATCTAATATAATAAATCATCACATAATTTATACTACTGAAAAGTTTATCATGAACAAAAAATCTATGGTTGGTTGTTGTATCTTATAAAAAATATTGGTCATTGTTTCAATCAAAAGAGACCACATTCGAATTTCCTATCATCATAAAAATAATATAATTTGATTAATAAATTGATAATTAGTTACTAACATGTTACACATCAACAATTACATAGAGAAAGTAAGATTGAAAAGAAAATAATTTATAAACACATACTGAATATGTGATCTATGAGTGATGGATTACGGATGGCAAATTTTTAATTGAGACTTGAAGATTAAAGAAGTTTTTATATAACTTTTCTCATTTATTTCCTTCATTTGGTCTAAAGTGTGTTTGATTGCAAGTAGAAAAATTGCATGGAAAGAAAATATTTTTCAGGTAATTCAATTGCCTGGAAATTATTTACATGAAAAATGTTAATTACAGGTGTTTGATTGACTTAAATTTCAACCTAGAAAATGTTACAAATTTCCAACTTTAGGTATTTGATAGCCATTATTTTCCATGGAAATAGTCATTTTTTCCAATTTTATCTATTTGACAACCACTATTTTCTATGGAAATTGTCACTTTTTCCATGGAAAATATTGGTTTTTTCCATGAAAATTTGCCAATGAATGATCCAAATCTTAAACAAATTATAGACATAAATTCGGCCAAATTCTAATCAATCCTATAGCAGTTAATTTGTGGATAAAAACATGCCAAGATTCGGTACGAAAGATGCATAAACACTGTCGAGATGAAATAATTATCCCTACCAATTCAGATTTCTACCACTTACATATTCTTCTTTGCAATAAAAAATAATAATAAGATAATCAACTCAATAAATAATGATGAAATTTCGTCCAATGTATTACATAAAACGAAAATGAAAAAATTCGAAAAATCTCTATCATAAGAAAATAGCAAATAAAATAAACATAGATGTCATACTTTCACATATGTTTGTTGAATTATCTAAGCAAGTCATCTTAAAATAGTGGAGGCGGATCACGGCCCAGATTCTCAAATACTAAATCACGCATGAATTCTTCATCAGTCAAACTCATAAATACTCTAGTCAGACTCTCATCCGATCAAAATATTTTCATTACTTGCATTATGTCACGCTTTTCTATATTCATGCCTTGTAATTTTTCTAGAATCAACTGTCAATTGATGTGGTTTAGCGTATCTAATGTTGCTTGAGTCTCCATAGCATTAGTAATTTTTTTAGATGATTCGACAATGCTTGATAGGGCAACGAGACACTCATCATTAGGTTGGGTACGTCGACGGCGAACTTTTTTAGTTCCTCCTTCGGCGTTACGCTTAGGAGCGTGAATGGGGCTTGGATCTGTATCCTCATTTTGACCATCAATTTCATGCACATTTTCATCTAAAAATAATAATAAAATAAGAATTTGTTAGAATCTCTAATATAATATGAATTATATAAATTTTTATGTACGATCTAGTACGTACCATGATCGGGGGATAAAATGTCATTGCCGGTTATAGCACGATCTCCTATAGCATAATCATTTCCAAAGATAGCCTCCAAATCATCATAACGAGAACAAAGTTTGGTCCTCCACTTTCCAAAGTCTGGTTTGCCCTACAGGAAAGAGAGTAAAATATGTTTTACGCTAGTCAGTGGTCAAAATAAATTATATTACTAATATTTAAGGAATAATACCTTTGTAGGTCAATGAAATTTTGTACCTTCAACAACTATTCCCAAGCTAGTACATCGGCTGTAACACGTCCAGTGTGAGGATCTAACCCAAAATCACTCATACTTAACAACTGATGAACTTCAACATATTCTTTTTTCAGAGTTTTCAATCGCGCCCTCACATTCTTATCAGACACCATGACTTCGCATCTATTGTGCACACTCTCAATTGCTTTGGACACGTGATATGATGAAAAGCCATTGTCACTTCTTGTGTGACTAGCCAACACTTGATATAGCATTGCAGTTATCATACAACCGTCCATTGCATCACTCCAACGTATTTGACGATTCCTAGAATTAGGATCCACTTGGGTGGAGCTTATTTCCTCCACATCTGAATGGAGGATTGGCCTAGGAACTCGAAAAGGTGCCGTAGAGTTTTGTCGAATATTTGCCATGAATTCTATGGTGCAAGATTAACTGTTTATGGTCAACCAATAAATAAGAACATTTAAGAAAATTGCATGTCAACAATTTGTCTCCAATAACAGCAATTCCGATGGCAATATTTAAAATTCTAGCAAACTTATGTCAACTATTATAGGACATGGAAAAAAAAACAAAAAATCTGCTTAATGTCAATACGTCTTCTATTCAAGCAATTACTACATATGAAAGTCTAGTAAGTTTATATCCATTACATAAAAACATAAAAAAAAAAAATAGATTTCAATCAAAATCAATTCCTGCATTCTGATTGGAAAGATAATCAGCCCACATTAAATCAGCAATCGCATTCCTCTTATTAGACCACACTTCTTGATTTGTGAAAGATATGTGAGCATTTGGAGTTTCATCTTCAGGTACATCAACATGCGTAGGGTTAACCTCATCATCACTACTATCTAAGTCGTCCTCCTCACAAACATCTTCAACGTCATCAATCCTTAAGAAGTTGTGGATGACAGAACAGGCAATGACTATCTTTGCTTGTGTGTCAATGTCGTGATAGGGTTGATGTCTCAAATATGCAAATCTTTTTTTCAGCAAACCAATTGTACGCTCAATAACATTACGTAGAGATGAATGTCGAAAATTGAACAACTCTTTGCTACTTTCAGGACGTTGACCTTCAATGTCTCTACGATAATAACGAGTCCTACGGTATGGTGCAAGAAAACCCGAAACCGATGGGAAGCCAGCATCAACAAGATAATATTTACCTAGGAACGAGTCGTTCATAAGATGATAATTAGGTAATTATTATAATTTATGTGTCGAAAAAATGTTTTCAAAATAGTGACACAACTTACCAATAGAAATTATTAGCTTATGTCCTTGGTGTAATATTGCACTCCGTAACAACTGACCATCATGTGCGGATCCCTCCCAACCAGCAAGCATATACGTAAATTTCATATCGAATGTGCAAGCTACTAAAACATTTTGAGAAATCACTTGCTTTCTATTGCGATATTTACCTTGCTCCTCTAAAGGCACATACGCAGCAATATGTGTACCATCGATTGCTCCTACGACATCCTTTAAAAAAGAATACTTTTCAAAATAAATGTGTATATTGAAGTTTTAAGAAATATGATGAAATAACTACAAACCCCTAACCTGAAAAAAGGAGTACCATGGCTACACATTTTATTTTTCGTATGGTGAGTTATAAGGAGTGACATTAACCACAACATCTCTATACAGTCCAAGACAAGCGTCTAAGACTCTGTGAAAGTAAAAGCTCGCTGTTTGACCAGAGCAAAAGAAAGTAAAACGTCTAGCGTGATTACATTGGTCATGCCCGACTGTATTCAAAAAAATTGCGACTTGTTCCTCCATTTGAACGTATTTACTGTCAACCAATCCACAAGTTCGCAAATGAACACATAATCTTTGAAATGGACCTATTTTCATCCTAAGGAGATCACGACATATTGTATCACTCGTGCCAAACATTCGTGTAAGTGTTATTTCTCTTTCAGAATTCCAATTTGTATGAGGAGCTCTTGGAAGATGTCGTGCACGACGCCTAAGTTCATTATATATCACAATCGCTTGCATGACCATCGTCCAAAATAAACCTAAATGTTGTCGTCGGCATCGACTTTGATTCGTTGTTGTAGCCATGTTATAAACTACCACGAAAAATAAAAATTCAATAAAAATTTGTTTAGAAAGAATAACATAAAAGTATTACAGAATAAAAAGTTAACTGTAGCTACATCATAATAGAAATTCATTACATGACCTTCCAAGCATAATGTCAACTGGTTATATTAGAATTCTTAATATCGTTTTTTTCAATTTCATGCTTCCCTAACTCATTCGCATCATAGTAATCCCCCAATTCGGTAGATGAATTTTGGTGAAGTAAATTATACTTGGCATCACCACTGTTTAGTCCATACTGCAATATGTAATTTTAAAGAGGAAATTTTAAAAGTCAAGCACAAGAAAACAAACTAGAAGGTCACAAATTGAAAGAACATTTATCTGTATTATGGATCTGACAACCTACGAGAAATTAACGCAAAGGAGAAGACAACCTAGGAGAAATTAATGCAAAGGAGAAGATAAAATGAGGACTAATAACTGGCACCAATAAGTAGTTGGGGTCCATTTCGCATATGGTTCCTATACTTCAAATGGAGCCAACAGCTTTAGGCACTTTCATGATGTAATTTACACATTGTATTAGCATATTGCAGATATATGCTCCTACAATTTCAAAACAAGTCAAGAATTTCTTCATTCAAGCCACACTTGAGTTGGATGTAATTTTGTGCAAATAATGTGATAGTCTTTCTTGTCTACCTTCCTAAACAGAGAAAGCTTAGCATGAGGTAAGGAACATAGCATTAAATACAAATAAAAAAAAAAAAAAAAAGCAGAGAAGCACAGGGTAGCTGTATAAATGGACCGCATTTGTTTTTTAGGCATTAAGTTGGACCACATCTAACACTGAAGATAATTAAATTCTCTTATACTCAAATTCCTGCTACTTGGTAGCGTTCACTTGACAATTTAAACATGCAGATGTTTTTTCTTGGATTGATAAATAATTGAATTTTGTGATAGTGAGCCGAAATTCCTCGACTGCAAAATAGATGCAAATTCTATCAGCAACTCCACCTCCACCTTGCAGAACCCAATTTCTCTCTCCCTACAATCCTCATAGAAGACAACCAATTTCCACATATTCATCAGAATTGCACTGCCTAAACAACTTTACAATTGTGTCACAGGCCTGTTTAGTAATAACAAATTAAGGTGGATGGAGCTATTTATGGTGGAAATACAGGCAATAAAAGGAGACTGCACCAATTTTCCTATGTTATCTTAGTTTATTTGCAGCTTGTATCCTGTGATTTAGAGTATCACTGGAATTGAAATAATTATTATTAATTGAAATATATTGAATATTAAGGGTATTGTTCATCATAAATATAAACATGTAAAAATAAAATGTGAAAAAATGTGAAATCAAATGTTTATCATCTATTCTTATTGAAAAATGACTTTTTGTCTCATAGTTTATCAAATTAATGTAAATTAATGGTGATTAAAGATTTGATGGGTTATTAGAAAATGACTTTTCATCTAATACTTATAAAGTGAATGTTAGTTAACGGAATTTTTTAATGATTATGTTTTATTTCGTTGGAATCTTTTAGAAATGCAATATTCTTTTAATATGTAATGTTAGGTTTAAAAAATTTTAATTGTATATATATTTTTATTATTTTTATAAATTTTATATATTAATATTAATTGACTTAATAGTATATAACATTTCATGTTAATTATATATCTAGTATTGTTATAATTCCTATTTTATTTTTTATATAAATTTTTATTAATCATGTATTGATAATTAATAATAACAGTATTTTGTGGATATTAATTGACATAATTTTAAAATATAATTAATATCAATTTTAATAACAATTGAATTTAGTCGCAATAAATTTAACTCTAAGGATATTATTGACCATAAACATAAAAATATAAAATTAAAAGTATAAGGATAAATAAGGATATATTAAACCTAGAGCTGAATATGTAAGGATAAAATTGATAATCAAAACTTTCTTTAATATATTGAGTTAGTGGTTATATAATATTTTTATGTTTTTAGAGGTTGTGTTTCTTGAAGATACGTCGATCAAGACTCATTCAAACGACTACTATAAATTATGCGCCCGTTTAGCCCTCATTATTTTACATTATTATGAAATGAATAGTAAATTTTTGGAAAATGTGTAATTAAAAAAGAAGTAAAATTTCTTGAATTTACGTGTAATATTATTTTATTAGAGAATGAAAAGAATGGTAAATTTTTGGATAATGTGTAAAAATGAATTAATTTTTTTGTAATATTATTTTATGGGAGAATGTGTAATTTATAAGGAGGGAGATGAAAATTTGTGTGTTTTTTTTTTTGGTACTTTAATTGCATTTTATTTTAGTATTTCATCAACAAATGATATTATTATGTAGGCCACAAATTTCTTCTCTCTGAAATGGTGAAATCTATTTGTGGGTGTAGGAAGACAAGTCAAAATTTGCAATGACTTTTAGTGTCAGACAATTAATTAATAGATGTGACAATGAATACGACATCTCACAAACACATTGTGCTTTATTTTTCTAGTCCTCGTTTGATCTTCATTAATTTTAATTTCATTATATTTTATTTTTTTCTTATATTTTCAATTACATAATTTTTCATAAAATAATATCAAACGTAAATAAAAAACTTTTCATTTTTTTTCAACCACTTATTTTTAAAAAAAATATTATTCTATCCATTTTCATTTCTCCAAAATGGGGGCCAAATATGACCTAATTACATTATTATTGCCATCAATAAAGATGTGGCAGACAACAATCAGCGATAATTAATCAAGCGTTTTACTTTAAATTTTTTATTTTTATATATCTTATTTTTAATCAGTAACGGGACCACGTCTCAATTGTACAACATTTTGCTAAGCAATTAAAGTTTTTCATACTTGATTTTTATGATTGATTTAACTTGATCTGAATAGTGACTGTGCCTAAAATTTTTTGTAATTTTTTTTTTAATTGTTGATTGATGAAGAATTTATGGTTAAAAATTAAGAAATTTTTTTGAGTTTAAATGTAATATTATTTTATTTGGTTTTGTTAGTGGTATATCGGGATGTACCTAATGGTGTACACCCCACTCACATGGACGAGGGATCCACTCGAATGAAATATTATTTCTTTCACATGGGTCCCACACTCATGTGAGTGGGGTGTATATCATTCGGTATATCCCATTAAACTGATTAAATATGTCATGAATCTAAAAAAAAAATGTAATTAAATATGAATTTGAGAATAAATAAATTTGAAGAAATGACTAAGTACGGACTAAGAGCATGTTTGGTACATCTTCAAATTCAATTAAAATAAATTATTTGATCATTATTTCGCTATTTCAATCGTCATTTTTGAATTCTTATCTTATAAATATGATCCACTTTATCTTTAATGATAAAAAAAATCAATTAACAAAATACTTATCAAACAATCACTGAATAAATTGCTTTTACGTGAATTGATCCTTTATTTTCCAACTATTTGTGTCAGTATTTACTTTCACATTTGGCTTCATTTTCATCATCTCCATTACGAAATGGCAGCAGATTTCTCAACATCAGTTCAACTCGGTCTCAACCTCTCAAAGCGGATATACTACGGAAAAAACGTGACAGAGTCGGCGCCGCCACGTCCGGTGATGGCGGAGAGGAAGACTGATCCTGTGGAGAGTTATCTTCCGACGGCGGTGATGGTTTATGCGGAGATAACGGAGCCTTCGGTGGTGGACAATCCGTACATTCCGAGCTACCAGCCTTACGTGCACGGGCGGTGTCATCCGCCGGCCTTGATTCCGTTGCATATGCATGGAGTGACAATGGAGGTGGACTGTTATTTGGATACTGCATTTGTTACTGTTAGTGGCGCGTGGCTTGTACACTGTGTTTCTGCGAGTGAAAGCTGCGACTGTCGCGTCGCTGTTCCAATGGGCGAAGAGGTCAGCACTGAGCTGTTTTTTATTTATCATCAAATTTCCCTTTTGGTTGTTTCTCATTTTTAGCGTGCTTCTTTAATTGATGGACATGATTCACAAATTACTTTTCAGGAAGAGTTAACACACAAGTAATTATTTTTCTAAAGTGGATATGTAACTCTGATCTTTTTGAGAATTATGAAATTAGCCTTTGAGGGAAAAAAAATCTTCTTTTCATTGGAATTGTGTATGATTATTATTCACTTGTCTCTTGTTTGGCTGTTAAGGAATTGCAGTGCCGCGTTTATAATTGCTTTGTGAGAGTGGATTAATCATGAACGATGTATTGTTGAAGCAAGGAGGGCTGGCAAATTTTCTCTTTTAAAATTCTGTTGCTGTGTCTCACTTGGTTTACTTATTCACGATTTTGTCACAAATCATCTTTTTGTCATTTATTTATTTATTCGCATGTCAACCATGTACTTGTAAAAAGAGAGTAAAACCGCTTACTTCTATATACCATTCGAATATAACCTCTTTTATAGTGTCCTAACAAGCATTTAATTCATCTTATGATGTTATATCCTTAGAATCATCAGTTTGGGATGTCCATTGAGCTGAGTAGTAGAGAATTTAGCGCAAACTTGACCTATATTATTCGTATTAAGACCTTCCGTGAGGTGATGCCAAACAGTAGTTAAGTTCTTATATATGTATGCCACTTCATACATTTATTTTGGTAGTAGTGTGTGATCAATCGATTTTCACAATACAGCTCCTGCTTCCATTCGACCCCAACCCAAGGTAACACGTTGTACACCTTTTTGTTTGAATTTGTAATATCTTGCATATAGTGCTATTTCTCTTCATTCTAGAATTATATGTTTGAAACTTTTGTAATTTAATTTATAATTGTATGCATGAGTTGTATAATTCACTTATGGGAGAAGCTATCACTGTGATAAAAAAAATAAAATTATGGAGGTTTTATTCGGGGATTTTCTACATTGTTCTAACAAAATTATATGACAATTGAACCGGCAGTATAATTTTTATGTTAACTGTTGATGCTATTCATTTTTATTTA